GATATTCTTGTCACTGGCTCCGATCCTTCACGCATCACCACCCTTATCTCTGACTTGGGCCGTCAATTCTCTATGAAGGATCTTGGTCCAGCCAACTATTTATTGGGCATGGAGCTGGTTCGTACTCCATCTGGGCTCTCTCTTACCCAGACCAAGTATGTCGTCGACCTTCTCAAGCGTGTTAACATGCATGAAGCTAAACCTGTGCCTACCCCAGCTATTAGTGGTCATCGTCTTAGCATTTCTGATGGGGATCCTCTTCCTGATCCCACTGAGTACCGTAGTACAGTTGGGGCTCTTCAGTACTTAACTCTCACTCGTCCAGATATTGCCTTTGCTGTTAATCAGGTGTGTCAATTTATGCATCAACCCACTACTGCTCACTGGCTCGCTGTCAAACGTATTCTTCGTTATCTGAATGGCACACTCACTCATGGGTTATTCTATTCGCCTAGCACTCTCTTTCTCAGTGCGTTCTCTGATGCCGATTATGCGGGGAATCCTGATGACCGTCGCTCAACTGGTGGTTATTGTGTTTACTTGGGTACTAACTTAATCTCTTGGAGTTCTAAGAAGCAACGCGGTGTCTCTCGCTCCAGTACTGAAGCGGAATACCGCCAGCTTGCCTACACTGCTGCCACTCTCTCATGGTTCCGTGCTTTATTTCTCGATCTTCATCTTCCAGCTCCTTGTCCCAAGCTTTGGTGTGATAATATTAGTGCTCTTTCCCTCGCTTCTAATCCTGTCTTTCACTCTCGCACTCGTCGTGTGGAGGTGGATTATCATTATGTTCGTGAAAGGGTGGTCCGGAATGAGTTACTCGTTGCGTATTGTTCTACTGTTGATCAGATTGCTGACATTTTTACTAAGGGCTTATCATCTGCCCGGTTCTCCTTACTCCGGTCCAAGCTGCCTGTGCTCCACCGCCCCGTCAGCTTGCGGGGGTGTAATGGACGTTAATGCTGATCTGATTGAGATATGATTTACTTGCCAATTATATGTATTTATTCCTGTATATTCCTTACCTAGAATAGGAGATATGTTGTGTAATCACCAAGTAATGGCTGTGTATATATTCCCTATATTGTTTATCAATGAATATCAATCAAAAGAGATTCAAAACCTTTCAGCCTTTAGCTACTAGCCTTGCTTTATGTTTTTGTATTGACCCATCATGATTAAATTTGGTCTTATAGCTTTTCTCTTTGTCTTGTGGGCGATCAACAAGCTCCCACATTTTGTTATTCTCAATTGTTTTGATTTCTTCTTCCATAACTTTTCTCCAGATTTCTTCTTTTACTGCAACTTCAAAACTTTCTAGTTCTATAGTTATGAAGTTGCAAGTTTCATATATATCTTGGAGTGATCTAGTTCTTTGTTGTGGTTCTGGAGAGCCTTCATGTTGTAGGTGGTGGAGTCGTACCTGGAGTTTCTTTAGTTTTCTCTCTGCACGGTTGTGTTATAGTAACACTTTTCCTTTCAAATTTTTCTTCTATGATGTCGATTCATCAAACTCAACATCTCGGCTTATCATGAACTTCTTAGTTATGGGATTGTAGACTCGATAGCCTTTAGATTGGTTACTTTATCCCAGGAATATACCAACTTCATATTTTTCTTCTAGCTTGTGTCTTTTCTTCTTAGGAATGTGCACATAGCAAATGCATCCAAATACTTTGAGATGCTTTGCTGATGGCTTTATATTGCTCCAAGCCTCAAT